TTATATGAAAATATAAAAAAACAAAGTTTAAATTTTAGATATGTAAATACATAAAACTTGAATGGTATGTATGTAAATGCCAACAATAAAAAAATCAATATAAATTGTTTTAAGTATGAAGGAGCTGTCGCGTAATTATGATACGAATATCTTCTAATTCGAGCACAAGTTTTTCAATTACATTGTTTTGGTTGGGTCCACCAAATGATGTAAGGTGCTCCTTAACAATTTTTGCTTCTACATGTTGGCCACGTCAACATCAAGATTGTAGAGAGTATCTTCATCAAATCTATCATACATTTAAACTTAATGCATAAAAATAATCTTAATTAAATTAATGATAAAAACATTTAATGCGTGGTGGCCCCATTTTCATTCAACAAAATCAGTGTGTGATTGGGTACCTTTGTATTATCTCTTGTTTTTTCAAGAGATGATATCCCTTATAACCATTTTGGAAAAATTCTCATTTGTTTTTAGTTTATTGTTGAATTAGTTTTTAAGTTCCCTATTTGTGATTTCTCTGGGCATTACAAGCTCGTGCTCGAGAATGATTGGATGGATTGCGCTTCGGTTTATCTTGAACAATAATGGAGTCATGAGAATAATAATGTATGTGAAATCAATGAGGTATAAAGGGTGTGATGATGAAGATATTAGATGGGGTTTTCAGCAAGACAAGGCTCTTCTTCACTCAAAGAAACTTTTGATTTTTCTGCGAGTCTTACTTCTTTATGAGATTTTTAGCAACTGCTAGTTCATATGAAATTTCAAATGATATCAGTTGTGGTGACTATCAAAAAGTTGTGGTCTGGAGTTTTGAAAATAAAATAAATTTATATAGTCATCACATCTTTTAGAAAGACACAATCTTCTGCAACAGTTTCACAGTTGCTTCTTCAAACAGTTGCAGCTGCCCCGAACACACCCTTAACGAAGCATGACCATGACTCTCGCTTATATCTAGAATAATCCGAGTGCTATAAAGATGTAATATTTATTTTTTACTTCTTGTCAAACTTTTATCACTTTCCTTTCTTAAACTTTCTTAAAGAGTCTCTTTCTCCTTCTAAATCTTTTTGTCTTATATCTTGCTTTAAACCACCCTTCCTCTTAGTCTCAAGTCTAGGTTTATATCATGTAGATTCCAAGTATCTTTCCACAAATAATTTATATCCCTTCTAGAGCCTTCATATTTATTTTTTCCATAATAACGTTGAAGCCAACAAGAGCATTGGTTTCAACTAATCATTAGAAAATCGCATTTACTGCTTTAATTCTTACTGCCACATGACTGACAAGTTGCAAGTCGTAATCATGTCCAAGTATGGAAATGCACCTTCAGATATTGCCATTAATTTTAGGTGATCCAATTCATGACAACTTGCGGCCTCAAATCCTTAATTCAAAAATAACGGTTAAGTGGAAGAGCAGCTTGGATATCGAGAAGGGATGCAAGTCTATAGTGGATGGCTGTTTGGTATGCTTATATTAAAGTTAAGATTAACATGCTATTTAATGTGGCTTATAGAAATTAATTCTATCATTAATTTTATATAACTCTATTATAATGTTAATTATAATTTGTATTGATTAATTAATTACTTAATTAATGGATCCTTTTTTATTGAAGATACCTTGTTAAGAAATTAAGTAGCGATAAGTCACCAATAAAATTTATTATTTGGCATGATCTCGAGACAATTAGTATAAAGTTCGGAATAGTTTTTGGATAATAAATATTCCAACATTAATTAAAAAAACATCTAGAACTTCGATTTCAACAAACTTAAACTCAAACTGATGGGTGTGACGAGGCAGATCAATGTCATCGAAGTTGATCCAATCTAAGTTTGATCTGGATTGGACCATACCATTTAGCCACATTTGAAAACTTTTGATGCCTAAGTGGAAGGTCAAATGGATTCCACTGACAAGTACATACTTAAATCAAACATCTCGACGAAAGAATCCAAAAATCCCGAGATCACTCAATTCTAATGTTGTCAAAACACTCAAATGTCCACAAAACGCTATTTGATTGAGGGATTTTTTTTCTGGGCTATTCCCCCACCAATGTGAATTCAAGATGTACATTGTGATGCAACAAAGTGTTGTGCGGAGAAACAACTGATGTCACAGAGTAACAAAGCAGCTCATCATAAAAAATATGATGTAGCGACGCAACTTGAAGACCTTCTAGCAAGGCACCAACAACTACTCTCAACAACAGTCATTCCCGACCACAGTGCAATGATTTCTTCGGCATAAGAATATTATACTTTTGAAAATTGTGTAACTCTTTCCCGCCTATGGGGAGGGCAATTACATGTAGTTATCAGTTTATAGTAGATCATTCTGACTGGGCTAGGACCAATAGTTTTCTTTCTTTCTTTTTGGATTTTTCACATAAAAAACTGTTGGTGTCTCAACTTGTTGTAATTTTATCTGAGTATGTGTTGGACTTTCGTGCAACCCTAAGAAGCTAAATAATTATTCTTACACAGTAAATCTTTCAGCGCATCAAGTTGATTTCATACAACTTGATCTCTTAGTGTTTTTTTTTTTTCTTAACTAAAACTATAGTTAATTTTTTGCAAGTTCTTTTTTTTTTTTATTCATTTTGATTTAGGATTATAATTTGTCAAAAAGAGGTTAATTTGGTTTGCATGAATTTGACATTTTGAAGTATGGATGAAAATTGAACCGAATAGCAACCGCTTGAAGAGAAATTCTGAGATTAATCAAATTTAAAATTGGTTAGCTAAAATTAATTTTTTATTTTATGTATCTTTTTTTCTATTTTAATATGTTGGTTGACAGCTGTGTTGTCAGTCGTGAGTCCCCTGAGGTCACAGGTTCAAGTCCATCTTATTGCATCTGTCTTACAATGTTAAATCGAATGGTTAGACACATGAGGTTGGTTGATACCTCGTATCATAAACTCCGGCCAATCATTAAGAAAATTTACTGAACCGATTCAAACAAAATCAAGCCTAAAATATCAATACAAATTGAACCAAAAAAATCTAAAGCAATGCTTCCTTAATATTGTTGTTTTTAATTTAAACCCGCAATATAATTGATATTGAATTGAAATGATCAAGTTAATTTCACTCATGAACATTCAACTTTGGGCTTCTAAATTGTTTGTTCGTTCGGACCAAATTTTTAGTTGTCCACCTTTATGCATCAATGTAAGACTTCTCTTATAATTTAAATAAATAGAAGCATTCAGTGTGTGTGTGCGCGCGCGCGCGCGCGCACGCGCGCGCGTGTGTGTGCGGGTGTGTGCGGGTGTGTGTGGGTGTGTGTGCGTGTGTGTGCGTGCGCGTGTGTGTGTGCGTGTGTGTGTGTATGTATGTATATGCTGAGCATTTATGAATGTTTCCCTCATTATTTCAAATATCTTTGGAACTATATATATTTATGAGAAAACAAGATTTAAGCTCAGATCTTTTTGTGTCCATAAATCAACAAAACTAGGGAAATTTACATAAATACCACATAACTCTTATGGATAATGGATTTATATATCTACCACTTAAAATTTGATATTTACATTTATAACAGCGTCGGTGTTACATTTGACTATATTTTCGATGTCATGGTAAGTGTTTTGTATGAATTTGTTGGTTTAAGTTTGGGTTTTCGTTTAGCTTTAATGTTTTTTCTAAGGAAAAACTTAATTAATATATTTGGAAATTTCATACAAATTTATATATAATATTTGTAATATTTTAGTGACATGAATTTATGCATAAAAATATGTACCTAAATGTAAAAGTTTAGGTGTTAGATTGGTGAGTACATAAATATTGTGTGGTATGCAAGTTAGAATGGGTTTAATTAATCTTTTTAATTGTTTTTTTTTAATTTAAGAAAATACAAATTAGCTATTAAATAAGAGAATTAAATTAAAAATATAAATACAAATAAACTGGTGGATAAATTATTTAATTGTATTAGTTTGTGAATTTAATTATACTATCCAACAATTTAGATGCATTTAGAGATAATATATGATATGTAAAATATAGATATTTACAATAAGTCCTTGTTTTCTTCTTTAATTTGAGGATTTCTTTTTTTTTTTTATTTCTTATCTCAACCTAATTAGTCATTTGTAGGGTTGTAAATGAGCCGAACACGAGCGATCCCAGGCTCAGCTTATGTTTCGTTCAAGAACAAAGAGTCGTTTGGACAACCCTAATCACTTAGCTATAAGATGTTAAGGATTGGGACACGATTTAAAACA